TTGCAGATCGAAACGGTATGACACAATATCCCCATTGATCAATACCATCCATAACGAGTTGAAATCGCGACGTGTATTTTTCTTCTTCTTCAGCGCCGCAGAGCAAATGTTGACTCGCGCTTGTTTTGAGTTAAGTACGTTTCTCCCGCATCTCCTTGCGCATATCGAGATCTCAATCGAACAGAGTTTTGATATTAGGTTTGTTTTTTATTCCTGCACTCTCTGAACTAGTGCACACAAGTGCAATAAGTTGAAGAGGAACAAATATAAGTTTATTTCACTTCAACGTATTGCACCGTGTGCATCAGTTCAGAGAGTGCAGCAATAAAAAATAAACCCATTGTTTAAACGAAAAGTAAAATTACACAATCGTTGCTAAGCTACTCATAATTCGCAGTACATACATGTCTTGAGTCCCGGTCGACGTTCTTGTTATTTATTCATTTGAGATGCATATTGAGATAATATTACATCATCATATCCATATAATATCCAAGGCTCAACACGATTTGTACTTCTCGGTCGATTTTCGGACTCGGCTCCGCCTTCCGCTACTCTTCTCACCTTATCACTCCGCGCGCAGTCCAAATGCCGCTCGACGTTTAGGAACGTATAACGTTCGTAAACGTGAGGTCCACCCGCTTTGAGCGCTCACGCTGTAAACTTTATTCTATCTTTCTTTTTTGTTCATTACATAACTAAGATAGAATGAAGCAACGCGTAAGATTGAGCGTTTGAGATTACGCGTTGCTCCATTCTATCGTAAGCACGCACGCACGCATGCATGCACACATGCATGCTGCTATGCTTACTTTGATGCATACGGTCTGACGTTTGACAAATAACTATGAAATTAGCAATTATTTCTTTTGATTGATGCATGCAAGAAAATAAGCTATGAAGTAATCCATAATAAATATAAAAATCATGTATATGCAGCATGCAGCGTTCAACGCATGGACGAATTCTAGCATACATCAGAGCATGCTATTATTCAAGAAATCTAGCATCGTGTAATTCCATCTTTAGTTATGTATTGAACAAGAAAAGAAAGATAGAATGAAGTTTACAGCGTGAGCTTCCAAAACGGTGGACATCATGTCTCCTACGCTCCTAAACGTCGAGCGGCATTTGGACTGCGCGCGGGGTGATGAGGTGAGAAGAGTAGCAGAAGAGGCGGAGCCGAGTAGAAAATCGGCCGAGAAGTGCAAATCGTGCTGAGCTCTGATTATAATCGAATCTCTGATTAACTAGGATGCTCTAAATACATATAAAATATTCGTCATTGGTCAGCGAATATTCTCTTTTAAAAATGTTTTGTTTCCTTCAGTTTTCAACGTAACCTTCTTCGTGCACTTATGGTCAATAAAGAAAGAGACAATTTTTGAAAAATGTACATTACAGACATTTAATTCTTTAAGCTCTTAAGAGTTTCCGATTTCAATTAAATTCACCTTTTCAAAGTGTATTTTCAATTTTGGTGTGCACACAGTGGCTTTCGTTACGGATAGATGGAATCGCATCCTTCCATTATGGTTTATCATTTCAGTATACTGATGGAATTGCAGGAGTTTCGATATTAATCGCGTGCTATGTCGATCAATAATATTCTCCATTGTTGCAAACAGTACACGTTGGATTTTACTGTTTCCCCAAACGTTGGATGCAGATATGATCCACTTGATTTTTTCCCAGTGCCGCTACTCGTATACCGTCGCATGTTCCATTTAAAATACATGTACGCGCGAAACTTCCAGCGAATTTTTGCGAGGATTTTTTACACAAACGTACTTTTCATGGAACGATGCATACGTTAATCGAAGTCATGCCAAACATACGGCAGCTATACCATCACAAGAGAGAGAGAGAGAGAGAGAGAGAGAGAGAGAGAAAGAGAGAGAGAGAGAAAGAGAGAGAAATCTATATTTTAATGACAAATCGCCAATCTTTTTGCAAATCGATTCTGATTTTCATAAAATGAGTTGCAGAATTGTTTATAAAATTCGCATTTACTTTTTTAATGTAAGAAGGTGTTTGCGGAAATTTTTTTTCCCAAAGTTTTTCCTTTAATTTTCACGCCTTTATAATAATAGGAGCTCACGGAGCAAACGGATTGCGATCGAGAAGCGAGCTCGTAATTCGCCAACTGGTTCTGCAGTCAGCTTGGCCAAGGAATTAATAAGCACCATTGCAAAGCCTTCGAACCTTTTTGCTCACCATTATCCAAGATAAACGATGGCCTTTCGGCGCAATGGGGCACTCAGCGGATAGGGGAAGGCGAAACTTTCGAATCGCTCTTGCGTCGGATGAAATTCTGCGGAGGCGGACGCTTCTTGTTCGCCTGACGGGACCGCGCGCGTATTTCGCCGTTTTCTCAGATCACCGAGCAAATGTTGACCCAGTTTCGCCGTCGGATTGGACGTTACTCTGTCTTTCGAAAGTGCTGACTGGAATACGTGATGAGCGAGAAGTTCGGAGCTGCGGCGCTCGGTTCCTCTTTCTTCCACACGAGCAGAAACTCTCGAGATCGTTGGACCAGGTCCGAAATTCGACGAGAGATATCCGCTTGCGGCTGTTCGCACGGGTTCTTATATTTACGAGCAGCAAGTTTCATTACGAGATAAAGCTCAACAGTGCGGCACTAACATTCTGTTTTTATGGAGCATGTAAATTACTTAACACGTTCGGTGCTGGACCAATTTTTAATGACTTGACCATCGGTGACCATATGGTCACCAATGATTTACGGTATTTTTGTTTACGTTTGTTATGTTTGTTAAATAACATGTATTTTACAATGGTTAAATAAATTACGAAATTGTATAATTATGTGTATCACATTTGATATTAAAAATTATTTCGTAAATACGTTTCTTTATATAATCAAAATATCAAATGGCTCCAACCTCAACGGGAATAACGTAGCACGGAATAATTTAAACATTAAAATTATAAACAAATATACCCATTTATAATTATATTTTTTTAATATAAGTGAAAATTACGTTGATAAGAATACCTATATGAATCAAATAAAAGAAAAATCCTATTATCGTTCGAAGCGAATCTTAATGATTATAATAATATTCATATATACATTTACAAATACATTTTTTCAGTTCTATTAACTGCGCGCCGATTATTATTTCATAACTACGTTTCTTTATAGGTATAGCCAAAATATCAAACAAACTTGAATAAGAAATCATCGATCCTTTAAATAAGTATACTTATTCATTATTTCAAACATTAAAATTATAAACAAGTATACTTATTTATAATTAAATTTTCGAAATATAAGTGGAAATTAAATTAATGAGAATAAATCTTAAAACACACACACACAAAGAATCTTATTATTGATCGAAGCGGATTTTGGTGCTTAATTATATTCATATGTAGGTATAAAAACACATTTTTCAGTTCTATAAATTGCGCGCTGATTCGATTTGTTATATTTAAAATACGATCATAAACTTCGACCAAAAATAGGATTTTTCTTTCTTCCACTAAATTTTTAAACATTTAAACTGAACGTTATTAAAATTTTGATTCTTATTCATAAATGAAAATAGCAGAGAAACACAAATTAAATTTCTTCTCTTCACGTTCTGTTTATATAAAGCCTTATTATATAAAGCTATGTGATTTTCTGATTAACTTTATTTAGATGATTTCTATCAAGGTTCCTTCGTAAAATGTATTCATAGCATACATGCTATGAATACATTTTACGAAGTAAAGTCGATAGTACTCTTAAAGGGTTAAAGTAGTCGTTCTCGAGGGAACCGGCTAAGTTGATTCACCTCGTTTCGCGAAGGTGCCTCTTATTACGCGTTACTGTACGAAGTTTCTGTAAGCTCGCGCCAAGACATAGACAAGCGAGGTCGTCTTCAACGCGAAGTCACCCGGCCGAATAAAGCCGCGACTGAATGAGATATAACAGGATACTTACCCTCCCTAGTAAGATGTTCGCCAGTATAATGGTAAACCGTAAGTCGGTGGACGTTGCGCGAGATGAATAACGCTCGAGCACAGTGGATACGGCTTAATATAACTTTTTCCCGTGTACCTCGTTCTTTTTCTCGCGCTTCCGCGTCTTCTCATTTCGTCTTTTCAGCATCGCGAGCTGGAGACGGATAGGCGGCGGCGTCTGCCTCGCAATTCGAGTAATTTGAACGCGCATCTGCGCGCCAAGTAATAGGATGCATCGCGCTTCCCAAGCTTGCCCGATACTTGGAGCAACGCGACCAGAGAAAAAAATGTCAATTCATCCAAGACACATTCATGAAGCGAGGAATAAAAAATATATTATTTCAAATCCGGCATGAGATGTCCCTATTTCTTTTTACATTCGCAAAATGAACTAAATTTCAAAGAGAATGTATCCGAAAAGAAAAAAATACGGTTTATCAGTATATTCTAATTTAGTAAAGTATAAAACATAAATTAAAATATTTTAATTTTTATAAAACCTAAATTAAAATATTAATAAAAACTGCTGTCTACTGATATGTATTACATGGATTGTCGATGTTTCAGTCTTCATTCCAATATTTCCATATTCGATTGAAGGTTCGTAATCTTATAATAAAAACCGTTCCTTTTTCTCTAAAAAAAAAAAGCATGTCATAGACCCATAAGATGCACACAAATACATTGGAGAGACGTTTTGACAACATGAATTAGCAATTCATGTCATAAATGTCAGTGGAACTGTGGTGTAAATAAATACATATTATAAATACGTATAAATATATAAAATACGTATAAAATAAATACACATGGAAATTAATTTTGCGCGCAGTAGTAGACTTTAAAAAAATCTTAAATTTTAGGCTATCAGAATCTGATGTGATTTCTTATTTTTTTATTTATAGATAAATATTTACGAGTATTGAATTTTTACACCATAAATGGGAACCGTCTTCTTTACAGTAAAAAAAAAAAACAAAATCTTTTCACAAAAAGTAGACATTCAAGATGGAGTTTACTAAACGTATATTACGTCTCATTTCTATTTCTCTTATCGTATTTCGTTTACCTCTAATAGTAACCGTCACAACGCCATTGCCGCCAACAATCGAATCTACTATCGAGTCTACTGTCACCGATTTGAGCACGACAGAGGAAGAGGATAAGGTGGAGATGCCAAGTGTACCGCTGACCGAGCAGGTTATGGACCACAACATACGTGTGAGCGATGTGCCCGATGTGGATCCGGAGGCGACGAACGTGCCGGATTCGAGCTTGGACAGGAACCGGGTGATTCGCGACGTGGCATATTTTATTCGCGCCCATAAGTTTCACGATTACGATCATCGGTACTTCAAGAGCGCGGAGGAGGCTACGAGCAAGCTGTACGAGGACTTCCCAAAACCCGGTCTAAGGTCTCTGCACTGGGAGGTGCGTAAACACTGCAAGGCGAGTTTCGTCGAGTGCCTCAAGTATCTCGAAAGGATCATTAGGCTTACGGTCTTCAGGCGCGAGAACGACACTGTCACAATCATGAGGAAGCAAAAATGGAACCTGGTGAACAATACCGAACAGATCATGGCCGTACAACGAGACTGTCAGACAGCCCAAAGGCGGGATTATCTCACCGTAGTTCCATTTCAGGGCCCAATCGGCAAGTGCATCGATTTGTCACGAACATACTAATCACATCGAAACAGCTCAATTTGCACATGCTAACGGCTAAATCGTTTTCCTAACTGTTTAACTGAATTAACAATAAGCGATATATAAACTTGATTGTATTATTTACTTCCTCGAAATTAGACACTAATATAATAATACAACGTTTAATGTTACAAGTTATAGAGAGACTAAAATATAAATCTCAAATGTTTTTACATTAATCCAGTTAAGTTCTTATAAACAATTAAAAAGTGATTCTGTTTAGAGACTGTACTACAAATATAATGTATACGTATAAGCTTCTTTAGATTTATGTTGAATTATACTTAATTCTTAAAGGTAGAGATACTTACATTCAATAAAACTATACTAGTAATTACTTCAGGTAGCACTTAAAACAGCATTGACGTAGAAACGAGGGCATTTCAACAATTATGAATAATTTCTTTGCGTAAAGTGTTTATGCTGCAAAATATAAAAACCATTCGATTCTGACGTAAATCGATGAGTAATAGAAATAATATCAGATATTAGTTTAATCGCAAGCAAAAATTATTGAAATCTATTTCTAGAACGCTTCCAATGGCGCACTACCGTCAGCTATTATATGTGCTGGTACACGATGCTAGAAGTCCCAGACTTAGCTACCTTCGGAGAGCCCTGTGACAATCACGCCAACTGTCTTGATGAATACGACGTTCATAACAAGGATCCACGAGCGGACGACACGAAATCGTATGCCTGTGCCTTGTACAGTTTCTGCCCGGACCATTGTTGTCCCATGAAGCACATCCGGTACATGAAAGACTGTTATCAGTCGCAGAGCAATCCTTGCTACGTTGAGAATCAACCAGGTGCGTGGAAGCCTCTTACAGACATTTGCATCGCGCAAAAAACTTATTTATATTTTCTAGCTAGGTTAATTCTACATAGTACATAGTATAATCATACTGCATTACGTTCATAAAACCTCCTAACACGATTACTATATCATTTTTACCTACCAATACTACACTATTCTAGCTAGGTTAATTCTACATAGTACATAGTATAATCATACTGCATTACGTTCATAAAACCTCTGTCCTAACACGATTACTATATCATTTTTACCTACCAATACTACACTAGAAAAAAATTTGCTGAATTTTAATAAATATTTGTTTCTCTCAATAGTACTAGCGAAATATTTACTTACAGTAAATAAGTATTACTCAAAATAAAAAAAATTATGCTTAAATCAAATAAATATGTGTTTATATTTAGTAAATATTTTGTTAGTACTATTGAAACAAATATTTATTAAAATTTAATAAATTTTTTTCCAGTATAGTAAACAATATAATTTCACCGCGTTTTTTAAAGCATTGTTTATAACCAATTTTTGTAAGAAATTTATAATGAAGAGTAGTTTCTAAAAAAATATACGGAAAGAACAATTTTGTTAAAGTAAATATTTAGTTAGATATAGATTTGAAAATAATTTTGTTAGATCATCAAAATAATTATGTCCAAGCTAGTTACTAGAATGTCAAAATTTTTTGCATTGCTCATCAGGTTTAAACAATAATTTCTTTATAATTTGATAATTCAACAAAATTATTTTCAGATGTATCTAATTATATTTTTAGATACTTTGGAAAAATTGTTCCTTCCGTGTAGTAATCTTTTAATTTCAATTTCGGAACTATCGACTCACTAGTATTATCCGCGTATACAATTAAAATTTGTGTAGATAAATCAAAGCCGCTTATCGTAAACTCTAAAGACGTTAACTCCACGGATGGGATTCTCGTTTTGTCTACGACAAACATAACGAGCCGGCACTTTACTACGGTCGAGCTTTGCATGCTCGTTTACATTCCACGTGCACCGTGCGCGCAATTAACCTGAAGTCTTTCCATCCTCAAGCGAACCAACCACCACCATTGGTCGTGTTCGCAGCGCATCGAAAATGCACGCTGAACCAGGACGAGAATCGCGACTTCCAGGCGCTCAGGGCGAATCAGATTAATGTGAGTTGCGAATGTCATAGTCGCGGTTATGAGTGGTCCTCCAGATTCGGGATGTGCGTCGATGTGAACGAGTGCGTCCGAGGTACACACAATTGTACGCAGAACGCTGAGAGTTGCCTTAATCTGCCCGGTTATTACGTTTGCGTCTGCCGACTTGGCTACATCTACAACTCAGAAATAGGACAATGTGTTCACAGTCCGGACATTGATAGAGTGTTAAAAGGTTACGTGGAAAAACCAAAAGCCGCAAAAACGAAAAATCTGCTCGCCAAGATCGCCCGAATTATTGCCAGATCTGCCGGAAGTAGTTATGTACATAACTACAGGGTCCATTTTTCATTGATTTTAATCATATTGATCTTAAATTGTACAGTGTCATATGAATTTTGCTTCGACCTTTTAAATTTGGATCCGAAGTCAACAATGCAGTGGAGCTGATAACGCTGAGAATTACATACATGCGATTTTTGTTTAAATAATTAATTGTTCCAATTTTTGTATTATTTTTCCAAAGTTTATATTAATTTTATATAATATTAACATTGGCATAATAATAAATTTTTTCATTTTCTTATTAACATTTCATGAAACATTTTCCATGAAATATTTATTTTATTAATTTTATATTAATTTTTTATGATTTTTACTTTGCCTATAATTATCCAATCCATTTACCCAAAATTACCCGACTTATGCAAAATTATTTTGCTTTTGCGTTTTTTTATTTTTTGCCAAATTATTACAACATTATCAAATAAAAAAATGTTCGATATGAAAATGCATATCGATAGAAGAATGTTTACAACTTGTATTTCCACGTTTATATTAATTTCCACTTCAAAAATCATATTACAGCAAAATTCCCCTTAAGTGCGCACAATTTCCCCACTTTCCCCTACATATGAAATATTTAATCATTAAATCTCTCGTGTGTTTTATTCAAAATATTACTTTTCAGCTAATTAAGAAGTTTACAGCAAATTAATTAATAACGTTATAGTATCGTTGTAACTTACACAGTAACAACGCATTTTCGTCGATAGAAACAATTTGCAACAATATTACAATCGTTGTCTTATTTAATGAAATTAATTCGAATTGTGCAAAGCTTGTCGACAATATTATTGCAGTTTCTCTTACCGGATTAACACAGATGCTGTATGAATCGTTTAATATAATAACAGTACATGCACCATAATCTGTATCAGCAATATAAACTGCGTTATTACCGTTTAGAAATATCTAGCCACTTAGGATGCACCACAACAGAGAAATTTGTACCTGTAACAATTCAAATTTTAATCTTGGCCGCATAATAACGCGATTTCATGCGTGTCGTCACAAACGACCCCTTCCATAACGGTTATTTGTCTGACTAAGGGAAAAACAATACTCTCGAGTATGCCGTATCCTGTACTTATCATAACGGTAAAGCAAACCTAGACAGAGCTGAGCAACTCGAAGAAGCATCCGTGAATTCTTAAAGACATAAAACTTGCAAAATAGCCAATTATCCTTTTAGTACTTTTGGCCTTGTCATCTTCTGTTAATCTTACTGGTAAAATCTTTTCTAAAATTGTATTACAATTTCCTGTGAAATATTAAAGAATATTAACACAGTTCAATAAAGAAAAAAACATTAAAAAACTAATCGTTCTTCGTAGTTATTTATGTTAAATATGAATCCAGTTTCCAAATTGCTTAATCATATTACAATTTTAAGAAATTTGCAGTTAAAGTTGAAAAAACAAGCTATTTTCACATACTTTGTTATATAATTACGATATGTACTAGAGAAGTTTTATTATAATCAATATTAAGTATCGCAGTAAACAAACTGTCCGCAGGATTCTAGCAGATTGACAGCAAATTCGTTCAAAAAAATGCAGCAGATTCGGTACCATTTGTCCGCATTAAGTTCTGCCAGCAGAGCCTATCAATCTAAATTGACGGCAGAAATCGAGCAGAATCTGTCGAACGCAGATTCTGCTCAATTTCTACTGTCAATCTACGTCAAACTTATGTGTAAATCTGCTCGGTTTCTGCCGTCCAATCTGCTGTCAAGTCATATTAACAAATCTTATTATATTTTTTTATTCTGTGTCATCAATCTGATATAACAAATCTGCATCAAATTTGTAATCTTCCTGTTGACAAAATTTGACACTTGTACAATCTGTTTAAATATAGACTTAGCTGACTTAGTTGTTAGAACGTTTAGCTCTCAAAAGGATTTTTTTATGTTGGTTACGAGATCTTGAGATTCTTAAAAAACGTCAGATGTTGTAAAAGTTAATGTATAAAGGTCTTTCACAATTTTGACAATAAAACTTCTTTATCGCGTCACATATCATAATTCATAATATGACAAAATATAAAATTGGATTCATATTAAGTATCCAAAAAAATTGCAGAAAATGGCTAGTCTCGTTCTAGCGTAAAAAAAGTTATTTTTTGTTGAATTTTTGTTGTGTAATGAATAATTTGTGCTTTGAAGGATTTTCACATTACCAACATTTATGTGTAAATACGATATAAAGTGTTTTCAGAGCAAAATAGTAAAAACCATGTACGTTATGGCATATGTATTAATATTACAAAGTTTAATTTCATCACATTTTATATATCGTATCTAGAAATTATGTTATTGTCAATTTCGATATAAATAAAGCCGTTGATTTATTAAAAATTGCATGAATTTATATCGCATTAATAAAACAGTTAAATAAGATATCATAAAGTGTGTTTTATTATATTTGCAACATAAACAATATAATTTTTGCGGTACGTAACGCACCCCAGAGTAAACTGACAAGTGGAATGTGTTATGTACTACTTCATTGTTTCCGCTATTGTAAAATTTCACGATATAAAAAAAATATTGCCGACGCGGAGAGAAATCTGTACATATGCAGAACGTATGCGTGAAACGCGTCCGAGTTGGACGATAAAAAATATAGATGGATCGAGCGAAGTGTCTGGCGATGCTGTTTTATTCATCGACATGTTCGAATGGTAGAACTGCTACGTCTTTCCGCCAAAGGAACTTTCGGCTCTGTGTAATACATAAATGCATAAAGTACTGGTTTTCCTTATTTCCAACGTATAATATCATTCGTCAAGATATGATCGCCTAGTAATCGTTTATCTCGATTTATTGGACTGGGAAGATTGATGATCGCATATTTTGAAGAGCGATTGCTTTTATATGTATACGGACTGTATAATTTATTTTTACTTAATCAAGGAATATAAATAAAAAATAAATTTTCGCTATCATATTTAATATTAAATTTCGTTTCTCTTTAAATACATATGTTTTTTTTTTCATTTAAATGTAGTTATTACTCCAATTCTTATATTTTTTATTTTAAATTAGATTATACTTGCTTCTACTTTTCTTCAAGTATTTTTTTGTACTGTCGTTCATAAAAAACGCGATCATTTTTGTATATGCAGACTGCATAATTTATTTTGACTTAATTAAGAGATATAAATAAAAAATGAACTTTTGCTATCATATTTGATATTAAATTTCGTTTCTTTTTAAATATATATATTTTTTTCATTTAAATCTAGTTATTATTACAATTCTTATATTTCTTATTTTAAATTAGGTTATATCTTGCTTCCACTTTTCTTTAAATTTTTATTGTATTATCAAACACGACCGTTTTTATATGTATATGCGGACTGTATAATTTATTTTTATTTAATTAAGAGATGCAAGAATAAACTTTTGCTATTGTCTTCATTTTTAGTTTTCTTAAAATACGTTTTTTTAATTTAAATTTAATTGTCATTTTGTAATTCTCTATATATAAATATTTCTAATATTTTAAATTAAATTGTATCTTGCTTCCACCTTTCCTCAAATGGTTATTATATTACTATTCATAAAAACATATAAATGTATGTAAATGCATATGAAATGCATGTATACGAGTGTTTTCAGTGTAATGAGCCGAGAGTTCACTAAGCCCAAATGACTGTGCAGATCAGTCATCCCTACGGAAGCGAACTGAATAAATGAGAAGGTAGATACAGAGGAAAATACGCGAAGTAAATGGAAGAAAAGCAGTTAACGTTGCTCGTGCTTAATTGTTATTTTCCTTTTCTTTCTGTGATGCATTTCACAAGGCAAAGTGCATCGGCATGGAATTAAGAGAAACGAATTGTCGTTAGGGTTTATATAACGGCCACCGATACGAAGAATTGTAATATCGCAAACACTTTCATGCGATCTCTAGCCTCGTTATGCAACGCCGCGCTAAACCGGTTCTATCTTGGTGTACTCACGCGAGCTGATAATGTTACGGTCATATATGCAGTCATATACCACTTTCGGTCACACTTTGCAGCTTTATGCATGTAGTGTAGTTTCTAATTTAAGCATAATTACAAACATAATTACAAACATGAATCTGAATTAGACTGTCGAAAGATTGTCACAATGCTCTCTGCAATGTTCCCGCACTTTGTGTATACACGTTATTAAAATCTGTTGGCCTATCTCACTACAGCTTGGAATTAAAAAAGTTAATGTAATCAGGAGTGACAGGAGACAGGGTAGTGTCTCGGCACTAAGATAACGTAGTGACATGTTTTATACATTACAACAAATAGATGAGAAAAAATCTAGACGAAGATATATAATCGATCTTTTTATAGTTAAATCGATTAACATCACGTCAAGGTGCTATAAATAAAATATTTATACATACTTTATTAGTTATTAGCACATGCTATTATTGTGCATACTAACGAGTTGTACAATAGATAATGAAATTCTAGTACAAATAATATCGGACGACTAACACGGCTCATCAGAAAAAGTAATTAAACATGCGAGATCGCTTGTGCGCTTTGCATACATGGTATCATTACACATATTATCATTATTGACCGGCCTTTATGACACTCGGCAACGGTCATCGCTGAAAAACTCGCGGATTTTCATCCGTGTGTAAAACCACGGTTTGCTTCAAATTGGCTTGATTTTTTATTCGTAAACAGCGAACCGTCGGGCGCGATTTGTCGAGCCTGGGCATTGAAAACAACAGGCGCGTGTGGACGGGCATGTATGAAACGAAACATGCACCGGAACAAAAAAATGCACATATTCATACATGGAAATACCACGGCAGGGAAAAACGAGGCCGGGTGCGGCGCAACGTTACAGAGAAATTGTGCGTCGGATAGCTGGACGCGTAAAAAACCCGAATATTTCCTGCGCCGTATCTATTTGTGCCAATTGACCGTCCTAACATCTATTTCGAACCTCGAATCGTATCAGTGGAGCGCGCCATTTCACCACCCACGTCATGAGAACACCATCTAAATAGACACATTTTCGAAAACCTAATCTATATTTAAATTTTTAATATGCTTTGTGATTGTGTATATTTTTTAATCATAATAAGAACTCGTATAATGCGTAAATATTTTAATGTAATTCATGCGTTCTGAAAATATACATATATTCATGCAAAGTAATATAATGTTATAAACGCTACGTCTCATTAAATCAGTAATGGACGATACATTAATTTTCTTTTTGTTTGATAAATACAATACCTGCAGTTATTATTCGCTATACGAATCGAAATTATCAACGTGTGATAAAATTACAGACATTTTTACTCGTTAATTTAATTATTGATTGTAAATCAGAGGTACATGTGGTGTTCTGATTTAAGTACAATGAAGCACTCGACCGCAGTCGGAGCTACGGATTCTATGGTAATGTAAAGCTCACGTAACCAACAATCTTGGTAAATGTAGCTACGATAAACGTCGTTCTCATTTACATCGAAATACCAGTGATGTCAATGAGACTCCTTGCACTTCCAATTCCTTACCAATTCAATTCCTTTGTCCCGGTTGATTATCCGACACTTGCAATAATGAAAACACGTCATCAAAACGGATCGCTATTATAAGATCAAATTGCCATACTATATAGCATGAAGGAAGATGGAAGAAATTAAATTGCAGTTTGCGGTTATTTTTCTCTCGCAATTACGTCGCAATTTAATCTGTTACCGTCATGTATTATTCTGTATTTACTATTATCTTTCTTTTCATTGTAATTTAAGGCTATATACAGTTTTTGCGTATTGTTCACTTATTATTATCTTTCCGTTCATTGTAATTAAGATTGTTCAGCTTATGTACATTTTGTTTGTTAGTATGGAATTTTCAACACCTATCGATTATATCTTATTACTATCTTTCTGGCAGGCGTTAGAGCAGCATATTTGCTGGTGCCTCACCATTTGTGCACATATATTGTATTATACTTTCAGTTTATGTTTGTTTTAGCTTTCTTCTCTGTAACTACAATTTTTGTACACATTGCACAATAAATTAAATTAAATTATTTTAAATATTCAATCTTATAGCTTAATGCATAATTTTAATGCATATTATTTATTTAACTGAAGATTAATATTTGTATATCGATATATAATTTATAAATGACTTCAAGAGAACCAATTTGCAGAAAATAATCTAAATTGAAATAATAACTCAACATAGCTCGTAATTCTTGATATTGCTTTCACGAAACAATGTGCACACGTTAGCAAGAAATATTTAATCGAAACTGCTTGCGGTGCTAAAGAAATTCTTACGATAAAACATCGAAAACGCATTTAGAAGGTAGTCCACAGGTACCCAAACATTAGCAAATACATGTGAAAAAACTGTATAATTTCGCAAATGTTTGAGAAACATATTAAAAGTTATTTTAGGTTTTAAATTTTCATGTGCATTCGTAGACTCTTTTTACATATATTTTATTATATTTATTTGACTGCGTTCGAGAAGCATACTATCAACGTTATTGTGTCATTTTATCTTTATTATTTATTAAATATAACACAAAAATACAATAGCGCTAAAAGCATGCTTTTCAAATGCAGTTTTAGACATCTCTCTTTTGTATTGTTTGGGATACTATTATTTAATGTAATTTTAAAAAATGTATTAACAGCGCTAGCTTACAACATTTGTTTCAAATTGAAACTAATCTCACTAACTTAGTAACAATATTAATAAAATAAATGCGCCATGTTCTTGCTTTAATTCAATGTTATTTGTTTTATTAATATCAACTCTCATTGAGTTAAGAATTTTCAATTAGACTGTTGTGTTAGTTAATGTTATTAATATATTTTCTTTTTTATATATGCGTGCACAGTCCGTTCATTGAAAAAATTATTTTACTGCAAGTTAATACTGCAAGTATGTACGAAGCTGATAGTAATCTACTAATCATCATAATCTCGAAATCATGTGTATTTGATCGTTGCACCAGGCCAGAATATAGTCTCCTTCCCTTTCCCACGAGTGAGTATTCCATCAGCTATCACCAAGTAGAATCGAGCGCCTCGTACTGTTCACCGCGATTCGCTTTTCAAGCAGGCTCCCAGTCATCGACAATGTCTCTGTGCGAGTGGTACGCGAAACGTGTGGTGCTCCTCACGGGAGTCACCAGCGAATTGGGACGCGTTCTGTTGGAGAAAATCTTACGGTGCTTACCGGATGTCAGGGTGTACGTCGTTCTCAGATCCCAAAATGGTCTCAACGGCGAGGAACGGCTAAAGAAGATATTCGCGTCACCCGGGTACGAACGGTATCCTCCTCGCGTTCCTTCTCGCGTTCACCTTGTGCCTGTAAATCGCGCCGGTCGCTCGATATCGTCTTTGTGCACGTTAAATTGTGACCGCGATTCCGGTCGGGGGCGTGCGCCGAATTTATTTGAGAGGACATCAAACTGAGAAAGACCCCCCCCCCTCTCTCTCTCTCTCTTTCCTTGCACTTGGTGGTTTTCCACAAGAATTCCGGGAACGTACGTAATGCACCTTACGTTGGGAATCGATTGCAAAATTAGATTTTCGTTTCACAAATAGTCACGTGCAGCGACAGAAAGAGCACCACATTCCAAAAATTTTCACAAAATGAAATTATTATTACTCTTATTACTGTTTTACGTAATTATGAAAAATTATGGTGCTGCATAATACGGAGGAAGGACTCTGCATTAATCATGTGGAAAAAGTAGTTTTAATTAAATTAGCTGAAACTGAGATATTTTGTAACTAATAAAATGCTGATCACACACACACTGGTTATATACGTGTCTAATTATATTATAAATGTTTATACGTTTAGAAAAACTAAATGTGCACTATAGATGAAGGTACTTTTTAGTACATTAAATCCGAAATAGCAATTTCCAAATAATGTTACAGCAAAATTTTATGAAGACTTTCGATCAACATCTCATAAGCTACAAAATATTAGTTTCAACTCATTTGACTGAAATTACTTTTTCCATAAAATTAGTGCGAGGTCCTTATTTCTTCTTCGATTTATTCGTAATAAAAAATTTCGCTCACTTAATATAAATTTAATTCTACATCAGTGTTATGTGATAAAATATATATATTGTTTGTAACATTTTCCTTCTCCATCCAACTTTTAACATGTAAGATGACTTTCCATCTGCGTCTTATTTGGCATAAATATTTTATTGTCGCCCTCATTTTTGTTTAATCAATTTTTATTAAATAAAAATTATTAAATAAAAATTTTAATACTTAAGCTAATAACTAATAATATAATAAAAATATTGAAAAGCAATCCTTTTTTCAACTTTTTTTTAAAGCCTAGAACAGTGTAAAAGAACTTGAGTTGGACAAAAAGATCCAAATTGCAGATAAAAAGTAAAAATATGATTGTAAATAGAGGATTAATAAAACAAAGCATTTTCGAATCTTTCGATTTGATATATATCTTTGCAATTTGTTAAATCTCCTGTTAAAATTCATACCGTTTCATAATTTTAACAATTGGAAACTTACCGCGAATGATATCGATTGAAATGATAGCAGCATACCTGCAATCGCATTGCAATTGCTCGTCCGAAATCGCGTGGTAATAACGATAGAATCAAGAGTAAGCGAGATACGATCGGATGCACGTGTTTATAGTCAATTGCGCAAATCGGATTGCCCCGTTAGATCCCGTCTCATGCTCGTCTCATCGTAACGATCGCTGGAATTGCCAAGATGCTCGGATCGGAAGATGAAACTCGGCACCGTTACATCACGGCGTAGCGCGGCGGTGGCCGCCCTTACCGGCCTTCGGGGAGGGGCGGCTAAAAGCTCGTGGAGAGAGATTTATTTTCATTAGCACACGCCTCCGTGCCCCCTTTAGAAAGATTATGAAGTATACGCGGCCCGGGGTGCTTTCTCTCCCTTTCTCTCCCTCTCTTTCTCTCGCCCTCGCAAAATCCGCGACCGCGCGGAAAATTCGTCCGCGCGTTTTGAATTTCGCGAAATTAAAATCCGCGAAAGGATTGTTTTCCCCCGGGAAATCGTAGTTACCACCGGATCGCTGCGTTTTTCCACTTGAAAAAGAGAATCGCCCCGCGCGTAAATGAGAAAATGCAAATGGACGAGAAGCTCGAGCGTTCAAGGTGCAACCGCTTCAACGCTATTACGTTTGGCGAAATCGTTCTCGGCTGTCGCGGCTTGTCGGATTTTCCTCGCACTATTTGCGACTTCTTGTAAATTGTTCCGCGTAAAATAGTTATGATGTTAATTGTGAAAATCTCCTAGGCAGAATTCGAAATGCCAATACGTCGTGTTTCAATTTTTATCCTTCCAAAAAACGCAGCAAAAAGTGCGCAGAATTAGAAGATATTTCAGAACTTTGCGCATATTTTATAGTTTATACATACTTTAAATATACAATTAAATATAAACATTGAATTCAAAGAAACATAAATTAATTTCCAATTTGTATAATAATTTATGTAAATGTATCTACTCTCTAAATTTGAACCAGTGGATAATCACTGATATCAGTGCCAAGTATGCCATTGGTAATCAGTGAGTGAAATGTGAAATTCCTATAACCTAGCTAACCTTTATTATGTGATCTAATTAATCTTATTTTAGTGCATAAATTTAATGAATATAGTATTAGAAGATTGAAATTAACATATAAATATCAATATTTTAGGATATATAATGCTCAAACCTTCTTTTTTTTAATTGAATTTCACTGATTATCCAGTGCCAGATACGTCACTGGGTGATTAGTAAATAATGGCATATTTGGCACTGATGTCAGTGATTATCCACTGATTCAGATTTAGAGAGTATCAATAAAACAAAATTCAAATTTGCTTTTCACTATGATTAATATTAATTATCTTCATTAGTTTTATATTGCGCATCTTAATTTCCGGATATTTCTGATGCATTCCGGCGATAATTTCAGAAATAAGACTTTGTATCGTGCATAATTTGAATCTGTGTATTATAATCTGATGATTGCTTGATATTTTAATAGCGTGCGTCTTACGCAATTTTTCCATGCCGCGGTGCATCTCCATTTTGATGAAACTTCCTAGCAGTAAATTCCAAAGCCGATTTGCGTCACCAACGTTATTATCGCTCGGCAGGTATGAGCGACTGAGGCAGGAGATGCCGGGCGCGATCTCGCGCGTGAAAACGTTCGAGGGGAATCTGCTTTACGAGGATCTCGCTCTAAGCATTGAGGACAAAGCCTCGTTGAGAGAGGTCACCGTGGCCTTTCATGCCGCCGGGCCACACGATTCCTTCCTGGAATATTGTCAGGAATTACCGAAGCTCAGGAGCATCGCCGTCGCGTCCAGCATTTTCAGACATCGCGGCAGGATAGCCGAATGCCTGCAGAATGAAAAAATTCCCAACTTACCAATCGCCTTAGTGCGCTTTCCTTGCATCGGACCGGCTTACAAGGAACCTATGCCTGGCTTTGTCGAGTCTCTCAAAGGACCCACCGCTCTCATGATTGGTGCGGGTTTTGCGTACGGTAATTCGGAATTACCAGCCGAAATCATCCCAGTAGATATAGCAGTAAATACGATGATCGCGGCCGCATGGGAAGTCGGCATGTACGTATAAAATCTTATTTTATTCATTTTGCGTTAATATCTAAAAGTTTTATTCATTAATAAAAATAATGAGAATATTTGACAGTCCAAGGAAGAGTTAATCTACTAACCCGAGTTTAAAGCGCTTTTAATTCTCGTTGCTGCGAACTTTTATGACTATGTTTACATTAATCAAACTTAACATGCCGTAACTCGTCTCATTGTAATAATTAAATTTCTGCACAGAAAACCATTTATCACACACACACACACACACACACACAATATGCCTATATTTACGCGTACACGGAGAGAATTTTCTTTTAAAATTTACCCTGAAAATATGATGATTGTGGTACAATACAATATTTTAAAGATTTTTACTACGCACTTCAGTAAAATTGATCATCAAACTTATTTTATACTTTATTGTAGTTTTATTAATGAATGAGAGAGATTTATATTAAAATTCTTCGAAATACAATATTGTTCCACGGCTGTCATATTTTCAGGGTAAATTCTAAGAAAAAATTCTCTCCGTGTAAAGATTATTATCAAGTTGCGCTTAAATATTACGTTCATTTAATTGCAAAGAGAAAGTTAACCCAAATGTTAAAAGCGTATTCACGTGTGCAGCGCGTTACGGAATAGTAATAATAACCAACATTGTTTAATTACGAGAACCAGAAAGCAGCTATCTCCTTTCAAAGAATATATTGCGCAACTCGTTATTTTTTCTCAAAGCATAGCACTTCTTGCTCAGTTGAGAAAAATAATTATCAGTACTGTGTTTCAATAGAACCTTGGAGCTGAAAGAGGACTGCTCGATTCTTTTGTAAGTAATGTTATTAAAACGATATCAAATGCAAATTAAAAATGATTATATAAAATAGTATTGTTATAATTAGGGTCGGTAAAACAATCCTGCCTTTGTCAAAAGCGTAAAGTGCAAAATAAATAAAAGTTACAATAAAAAGCGCGAAAATCCGTAGAAAATTCCACATACATGTACATATATTTGATTATTTGAATTAACGAATCTGTAGGTAATCCGGAAAAATAATTTGTTTTATTAAAATAATTAAATTAATAATAAAAAAAGAATGAAACCTTTTTCGCGATCCGTTGTAGGTTTTAACATATCGGAATTCGTTGCAGACGCGGCTTATCTAGTTTTCCGATGCGAAATATTGGATGCGGGCAAACACGTTTTACATGTACGCGCGGTTTCCGTAGTTGTTACTGTTTGTTCGAATTCGACGCTTCCGTTCCAATTGTAAAAAGCGGAATTCGCTCTTCTCGATTTTTTTCGATTTACTCCTCAATCCGCTGAAAGCATGATTACTCCTGTCTTGACAAAATCATAAATTCCTTGTGTTGAAAAAGCTAATGAATATTTTGACAACTTCTCTAACACAATTATGTGTAATACAACTGTCGTATTGTAAATTGGCATTCATTGTATCGACAGAACAAAACTGCCAATTCTTTCAAATAACATTGTGTTAAATAAAAAAAATTTTAACGACTAATTTTAATTAACAATATATTGCCTATGCCCCATATTGAAAATATAAAATATACTTACTGCAGGTACCTATTAACTTTTTTATTCTTTCATTTCAATATCAGTTTGCGAAAAACTTGTAATGTTTCCTAAAATTTTAAAATCATTAAAATTACTCGTTTCAATTTCCATGGCTAGTTGTCCATTAATTCTCGCTACTGTTAACGTGGGATTAATTTAATACGTACATGATTACAACACGGCATTGCGTTAAAATTGCGTGATATTAAAACAAACAGTGTTTTATTTAAATTAACGATCGCAACAAAAGTACCGTTAAGTTCTAAACAAAAACACCTAAAAGCTTTGTATTTCTCATTAATTTTCGAAAAGATTTTTTTTTTTATGTGAGTTATGTTTTTGATTCTTGCACGACGGTTGTGCAATTTTTGTCTAATGAGGAAAGCGATTATTGGAAATTGTGTGCGAGACGGTAATTGAAATCAATAGTTAAATTGTATTCTTTGCGCTTGGCAGGAATAATTAAGTTGCATCAAATCGGTTTATCAAACGAAGTAATTAAAGATATAGATGATATATTGATTTACACATGTAGGGCACGTCAACTAGGAAAATGGTTCGCGCGGAGTGTAAAAATAAATAAATTTCAGATTTAAAATAATATTACAATGAAAATGTCGACGCGTGTATTAAATCGCGAAAAAAACGATATAAATTTCCATTAATGATATCTCTTGTCAAACTTTGTTTTCTAATCCGCTTTAAGGTTTTAATTAGAAGATACGCATAACGAGAATCAACTCGGACTTTTTAAAGCACAATCTTTATTTAAGTCAGCCAACAACGAACCAATCGAATGAAACTTATAGCTAGGCTTTTCCGGGCTTTTCCTAGAAAACCCGGAGAGCTTACGTTTGATTCTAGTTTCAACCAGAAGCATCTCTTCGCTTCGCTCTGAAGTATTTCCGAACGACTGAACTGCGAATAAGTTGATTGCATTCGCCTTGCAAGAAGCAAAGTGTGCTATATCTGCCTCTCGTGCCTTCTCCGTCCACTTTTACCGATTATTCTCGTATTTAAGAGGAATTACTAGTCAGAAATACTATTAATTATTGGCAATTTTAAAAGTAAATCTACTTCAGCTTTTACAAGAGTTGTAACCTATGTTACCTGCATTATAAAGATTTCTCTAACAAGTAATTATCTTTTCTTGTATGTACAAAAAAATTAACATTTAATTTTGCAACATGATACATTCTTTACATTCTTTCGTTATCTGATTATAACAAAATATATATTATAATGAAAAATAAAACTTTAATTATATAATTACAATTAAATAAATTAAATATAATAATAATAAAATTTAATTAAATTATAATAAAATTCAAAACAAATAAAATAATAAAATTAAAAACTAATAAAATTCACAATGTGTTAATGCAGATGCATATACGCATATAATTCGCATAAATTACGTATTAAATAGAATACGATTTAAAATAAAATGAAATGCACCGCGAATGGAACAGTTAATTATAGCGTGATGCAAAGAATGAACGTAATAAATTATCATGAGTTGGGGCACTTGAATGTGCTTTTCTTCTCATACTTTTTATCGTTTTCACGCAGAACCAACGCTACAAAACCGGTCGTCTATAATGCGTCGCAGCTGGGCTGCACGTGGGATGATCTGATTAAAAAGAGTCGACGAGCCAGCTCGAAGTTTCCCTATCCAACCTTTGGAATTCGCGGAATGACGTCCATTGAGCCGCTGTACTGGATTTTGGTGATATTCCTCGAATGGTTGCCATCTTTAATTTGCGACATCGTCTTCGGTCTATGCGGCAGAAAACAGAGGTACCACGGACTCGAAATTTATCGTGAAATTTCACGAATTTATCGTCATAGTTTCGTCAACGTCTTCGTTGGCGCGATCTTTTCGTAGTCTCGTGGAAATTTCAGCGCAGCCATTTTTATCGCCACCACTAACTTTGTCATAAAAATGATTTAATACCTCTGAAAAGTATCAAGGTTGTTCTTTTCCGTTAACTTTTAATCCGCAATTTATTGATATTTTATGCAAATAGGACGCATAAATTGCCCGCGAAGCTATCGCTTAAATAGATATTACACTTTACTCTTGTATTACGCGTACTCTTTATACATATATTAGATGCCTACTTGATTGAGAGGTCATGGATAAGCTGCTTGTACCGGAGTATTGTCTAAGTTTAAAGTTGGTTTCGCAGTGCTCTTCTGCAACAGCTGGCAATATTAAATTTGCTCGCGATATTAACTTGTTCGGAGAACGCAACACTATTAAAGGTACTAAGTCATTTTCCAAGAGCGTAACGCTTTACTACTTGATATTACGGTTCAATTTATAAGTTATAAATTGCTTATACGCTGCGTTAAAATATGCATCTTAAAAATTAAAATAGAAATTCTACGTAACTTTTTAATTAAATTATAAGACCGTCAATTTTCTTTAATGGGATTATTTCCGTTTGTGTAAAATATTACAGAACATCATTATTTATAACAAAATTCATTCAGAATTTGCAATATCTATATTTTACCGCTTATATAATATAATGATTATAAATTCAAGAGATCGCGGGATTAGCCAGTAGTATTAAACCTTGATGCACCTCGGAGATAATCCTTCGTTGCACACGCGAACATTAAGAAATGATTAAAGCCGTTCATATATGAAGCCTCGAACTTCGCCGATAACTACTCGCGATCGCGAATAAGTTTCGACGAGGAGACTCATGCGAAAGTTTGATCGTGATCGCGAACGCTTACGCTCGGTCTCTTCAACTTTCCGCATCGTGAAAGGCCTGCAGCGGTGCACTCGGTTAACGCGCCGCAAATCGTAAAAGTAAAAGTTATCTGGAACTGCGATTTAGGCGCAAGTAACGTAAACAGGTTCGCTGACTTTCGCTCGCGCGAGTGAATACCGAGAAAAGGAAAATTGCGTCTTCGAATGGAAAAACTCGTTTCTTCGGTCGCAAAACTTACTCCACTCGATACCTGATTGCCTTGAGAAATGAAATCCGATGTCATGATCGCGACAAAGAAACTCGGAAAATCTTGACGAGCTATTAAAATTCGTTTTTTATATGCCCTTATAGTGTATTCAATTTATTATAATAACAACGACACATTCATTCGCATTCAAACAATGACTATTGACTAACTTTTAAGAAATTTTACAAAAAAGTTTTTTAGCAACATTAGGATCTGAAATAAATGATTAACATTATCATTTATATATTTTTATGCACAATTAGAAGCAAAAGAAAAGATAAGGAAAATAAGATTGTTGTAGAAAATCAGTATTAAAATATCAAATAAATAATTGACATTATTATATATTATTTATATTAATTTTATATTAAATAATTGGCATTATCATTTCCATATGCAATTAAAATGAAAAGGAAGAACAAAGAGAATAAAGTTGCTATAGAAACCGATTTATGGATCGAGTGGTGAACGAAAATATTTTCGCTTTCGGTGTTCGTCCTATCAAATACTTTTCTGATTTTTTTCGTTTGCTCTCAGACGCGTGCAGAGTAAATCTTGCGCACTAACTTAGCTCGAGCTTTCTTCCTTCTTGAAAGGAAACCCTCCCGTCAAGTTTTCTGCAATTCCTTCGTAATAAGTTGGATTGGAAATTATATAGTTTGCGATGGACCGGAGAAAGTTAAATTTTTTTTATTATCCCGCTCACACTTAATGGTACTTTGCGATCCTTTTTTCTCGACTACGATTGAAATGGCTATTTAAAAATCAATCTTGAAAACGTTTTATTCGTTCTATCGCATGTACATGTTCACATATATTCGAGAAAAATACGATTTCGTCTAAGTATTCCTATACCAAGATTCCTATACCAAGGAAAGAGTAAAGAAAGACGCAAATAGTCGAAATCGTTAAGAGTTCGAGTGCCAGAAGGATCAGGCCAGACGGGCATTAATGGCAGGAAAGAGGTAAAAAGAAACGACTGGTACTGAAGGTAAAACCTTTACTGCTCCCTAGGATTCTCGCGGAGTACGACAGAGTTCGTAATGCACTTCAACCTTTGAAGTCAATTTCATCGAGGTCCTGGCCAGTGGAAAGGAATCGCGTGTACCTACTGAAGGAACGTCTCACGAACGAAGAACGGGACGTATTTCCGATCGTCGAAGAGATCGACATCGAGAGTTATGTCCTCTGCGTTGCCGCCGCCACCCGGAAGTATTGCTGTGTGAACGAGGATACTCTTAATATCATAAAAATGACTTGTCTGTTCTTCTTATATGTACCCGTGATACTTATCGTCACGTATATTGCATCACGTACATCCTTATTACACGCATAAAGTTAGATAAATATTATTATGTCTTTTTGTATATAAAAGGGCTTTCTTTTTGCAAAAATTTGTAAAGGGGAAAAAAGATAATTTTTAAATGGCTTTATACTCGGGGCAAATATTTTTATGATTAATGATCATGCGTTTCCAGTTTTAATTACAGTACAGTTTATAAAATTACACATTAAATTAAACTTCCACATATTTTAAACTTTAATTTTATTATTCCCTACATTTTTTTTATTGTATGTCCTATTCGGTCGATTAATCTATGTATGCTATATCATATTACATTTTATATGTATAATAGTAGTATATAAATATATTATTATTATTATTTTAATAATATTACTATAAATATAATATTAAATATATTTTACTCTATTGTTTATTCCTCTCAAGTATTTCCAACGCAGATTCTTTTCTAGCGTAAGAAAAGTATCTCGGCCGTTGACGAGATCGATTCTGAAGGCATACTCAACTGGAACTATACGTAACGCTTTGCAAATATTCGTGAGAGTTGCACGAGACGCCTGCATAAGGAAATGACGTTTGGGTGAAAGTTTCTAGGCGCAGCAGTATCAACGAAGATATATTTTCAGCACGTTCTCTTTTATGTATAGCCGTGCTGACTTGAACTCATTCCACCCATCGAAAGGGATACAAGGAAAACAAGGAATATCTGCAGATTTTGTATGTTTTCTCTTGGGAATAGGAATGCGCAAAATTCCTGCAAAAGCTGTTCGATGCCTGCAACAACGTATAGGAATCGCCTTGGCCGAATGCGAGAATTCAATGCGAGGATAGTACTTTGAATAGCAATAGTTTAAAATAATAATAGAATACATATAAAAAACCTATTTTCCGTTATCTATGGATAATTATTTTTAATTTATAATAATTAGTAGCAATTTTGGCAAAAAAGATATACAATTATGTGTGTAATAAATTACTATTAGATAATATAAAAATAAAATTGTATATTGTAAATATAATAAGACATTTTATTTCATTTCTTGAAACTATTTTCTTCTCTTCCATCACTGTGTATTTCGTCCACATTTCAACCGTGACGTCGTGCTGCACAAAATTTATATTATCTAATACATTAAAAACTCTCGCATAATTTGCTTGAAAGCTTTCAGTTATTTTTAAACTCATGCAAATTAAATTCTTTTATCATTTCCGCAGCAACACAATCAGGACAGTGACGTCTATCTCATGGTGGGATATTCTCATCACTTCATAACGTACGTCATCCCATTTTTTCCGCTCTTCGTTGTCAGCAAAAATTTCGTTCGCGTGACCAGCGTGAGAGTTTGAGTCGAGCTATGCTTTCAAAATCCTATTACATGAAATTTAGCAAAGAAAGTTGCGAATTAGTTTCGTGAGATATAATTGGATGTGGTAGTTGGAATTGCGCCTTCATAATAATAATTGGCAACGTCTATTTCGCGAAAGACGAAGTTTCTTGCTGTCGACGAGAGGCCGCCAAGTTGAAAGGTTGCGAAGCTAAAAAAAGTCGCAGCAGATAGTGGATAAAAAGTACGGGCAAAATAGCACAGGAAAGAAAGAGAGATCGTAAAGCGAAAAGGAAGTGGTGGGTATACATATTCAATTTAACTGTAACAGGTATGAATAAGATGTATATATCCGAGTAAATATGTATGTGATTGCTTCTCTACAAAAGTGAGTTATGCTGGCGTGCCTGGATAGAATAGCACATTCGAGAGAGGGAGCATCAAAGACCTTTTGTAAATCTGTTCCACGCTTCTTATTTCCATAGAACTGTTTCGTAAAAATCTCTATAACTGTTAAATAGATGAAAATAGTTCTTCGCGACAATATTAATAAATTTACACGAGGGATATTCTTAGTAAATTAATAATATAATATTTTTTTATCTATAATGCAAAAATTATTTACTTTTTTTACATATGAAAATATAAAATTAAAGCAATGTATTCAACATGTGTCCTAGATATTATTAATTTTTGTTAAGCAATTTCAGTCAATATTTTATAGTAAGATTTAAGCATTCTTGATCGTTTTACAACTATCATATCAATGACATGAAATTTGCCAGTACTTCTAAACTCCCTAATAGTTCTATCATAGCCTCGATCCTTACATTCACGTGACCAAGTGAACTGCAAGAATTATCATAACTCGACAGTCTTGAGAAACGAGAGTCTCTCTCTCTCTTTCCAGCGGACGCTTCGCCATTTCGAGATTATTTACCCCAAAGGTCTGTAAAGTTTTCTAACAGCTGTTGCTGGGCGAACCCCGCCTCCTTCCTCGATCTTATTTCGCCTTCACCTGCTACGCGAGCTAGAACAGATATCTTTCTTGCTTGCAGAAGTACTTGAAACTCTCAAGCGGCAGTTACCCGATGTGTTTCTGCACCGTCCGCACGCTCGAATTCCGCCGGAAATTTCACCGAAAACTGAAAAGCCGTATTTCTTACGCGTACACATGTAATGAAGCAAGATTGAAATAAACGGAAGTTCCGGAACCATACAACGACTATTTTTCTTTAGTGAAACAGAACTGTGTTAATATAAGTGATAATTTTTACGTGCAGTACGATTCCCATCTTTTTCTCACATGTTGTATACTAACTCGTTATAAAATATTTTTGATAATACATAAATTATTTGTACCCGTAAAGAATAATTTTACTAAAATACCTAAAAATCTAGTTAAACACAATTCTGAAAATAATTCTGTTGGACCATCAAAATAATTACGTAGAATATTCAAACTGGTTGCTAGAATGTCAAAACTTTTTGCGGCATTATCATTATGCTTGAGCGTCCTACGTAATTATTCTGACGTTTCCAACAAAATTATTTTCAGATCTGCATCTGGCTAAATTTTTAGTTACTTCAACAAAACCATACTTTCCGTGTATATGTAGAAAAATTAAAAAATATTCGTAAAAAATATTTTGACAGAAAACTTCACAAGTTATCTCTCTCGCTTTCTGTTATTTTAAAAATATTTGATTATATGAATATATAAATTGACATTTGGACAATATAGTCATTTCTATTAGATTCACATCGGCTAATTAAAATTAGACCAAAGAATCATCGGCAATATGTTACAAAACAAGCTGTACAACGAGTGAGTAACGTTGTTATATGGCGGATATGTTACGTGACGAACGTGCACTCAACTGGCGAACGTCATCAGCGTGAGAGATATTGCAGTAATAAACGTAGAGCGCACCTTCTTGGTCCGATTGTACAGGGCGAGATTAATTGCAGCCATTCTATTTCCTTGGTAACGTCGAGACTCGCAAGCTCGACCACAGCAGGCGGATAGATACAATGGTCGTGCGTGGTTCCAGAATCAAGTAGAATCTAAGGAAAATATAAGTTTGCTATGGCGCAACGTTATTTTCTCCTTTTTGTTCAATTAATGGTTTCAATTAATGGCGTTTGTAACTCGCACGCATGACGTGATTTAACCGTTCGCGACAAAATAAGACTTTCCAAGGGATGGAAAAGACTTGTCGCGTAGTCGCAGTGATGGCGGAAACCACATGCCATTGAGAATTGTCCCCAGTCTCTTCGGTCCTTGGCACGTCTTCCTCTGCACTGCGGAACTATTCTTCGGCTATTGTACTTCTTAAAACCTCGACAATAACGACGACTATCCGGTGGCTCTTCAGGGAGTTTTATCGCGGAAGTGTATAAAACGCGGCCGGAACGATCACCGCAACGAATGCCGCGTATGTTTTGTGTGTAGTTGCAGTCGCGAATCTCGTAGCTAATGCAACGTTTCATGATAATCTGACCATTTTTGTAGTATGAAGAATATAAGAATCAAGAAAGAGATTTTCTCGAAATCTTCGTTCGCTTTGATATCATGAGGAAAGAAGATATCTTTTTTCCAATATGAACGTACTTTGGCTCACTAATGCTATTTTGAAATTTCTATATTAACATCAAACAGCTTACGGAAAGAATGATTTTGCTGAAGTATTTAAAAATTTAGCTAGATACAGACCTGAAAATAATTTTGTTGGATTATCAAAATATAATTATATAGAACGCTCAAGCTGATTACTATACACGGAAAAAAATGTTTAGCTGAATTAATTGGAATTCTGGTAGAAAATAAACAATCCAGAATTTTAGTTAAATCTACGAGAGGATCCCGTTTGCTTACAAATCGATTGCCTACAGTATCGTTTGCTTACATCACTTTTGCCGACAATTCGTTTGCGCACAAAAATTATTGCTTACAGTTCGATTGCCTGCGACCACTTTTGCGCACAAATACAATTTTTAGAGACGAAATATCACATTTGCCTACATGTATTATTGCCTACAGATCGATTGCCTTATACATGTATTATTGCCTACAGTAGTTTGATGGCCTACATACATTATTGCCTAATACAGCTCGATTGCCTACATATACTATAGTATATACTATAGCAGGGAATATATTCCCTGCTTTAAAAACACAAATTCTGTTTTAAAATATAAATTTTCTGCTTTAAAAATACAAGTTATTTTTCTTACTTAACCTTAATTTTATAACAAATTAATAAACCAAGCTCTCCAGATAATAAAACAATCATCAATCAGAAATTTCCGGGCGATTGAAAGCAATAATAGCGCAGAAGCTGGTGCGTTTAATATTCACAATAGTGTATTCCAATTCTTACATACAAAATCGATCGAACGTTTCAGCTCCATTCGAGCCATCTTCAGCGATGAAGTAATTATATGCGATGTTGTTGGATATACATCATGTGATATATTAAATCAAAGAGTGCAGCAAGTAGTCTCTCAATTCCAAATTTAAGAGCGTAACTGTCAGAAAGCTGTACGGCTAAATGATTGGTGTAGGATAACAAAGAATTAGCGTAAGAATAGTAGTAAAGAAGCAAGTGAATCTTGAAAAGACTTACCTACTGCACACCTTGACTGCACACCGTAAGAAATTATAAACGTGTCAAAACGTAAATTATGAATAATCATTCGATACAGTTATGGATACATGATCGAAACAAAGTTCGTTTAAAAATGAATATTAAAAACATTACA